TTTCATTAAAGGTAAGTGTCAATTATTTTATTGTTACTGTAATTATTCTATTACATTAAACTTAATATTTCATGTAGTAAAATTTTTTTTTTCATACTTTTGGGTGTCTTGCACGGATTAATTTGATTTCCATTATTTCTTATGAGGAAAATTGATTCGGTTTTCGATATTATCGGTATTCGATGAGCTCTCAGGAACGGATTAATATCGAATACCGGGGGTCCACTGTACCTGCATTCGCAGATTTTTCGTTTTGGTGATAAATTACCAATACATAGGAAATTAACCCTAACCCATCCCAACCTAAAAGAATTCTAATTAAATTAGGGCTAATAATCAAAGCTCCTATAGATAAAACAAAACCAGAAACTAAATATATAAATCGCCTGTACCTTTTATCTCCACTTATGTAATCCCCTCTGTAATACATTACCATAGAAGAAATAAACAAAACCACCCCTAAAAATAGGAATCTTACTCAATCATAAATCAGAGTTGTCACAACAGAAGAAGAGTTAAAAGAAAAAATCTCCCACTCAATTACATAAGCTGCCCCAGAACTTAACCTTACTAAACTAAATAAAATAAAAACCAATGCCCTAAATGATAAAAACACTAAACTAAGTGACCATAAGCACTTCACATCACGACTTAAAATAATTTTCTTATCTCTTCGGCACCACAACCCGACGTTTTACTCTAAACTATTTAAATTGAAAAGTTCTAGTAGTTTAAAAAAATTTTGGTCTTGTAAACCAAAGATAAAGGTCCATTTCTAGAACTTTATACCATCTCAGTTATAATATTTTGTATTTTATTGTAACTCACTGTTACAATATTAAATTTTGATTCTCTTCTATGTAAATAAATTCTATGTAAACTTTCAATTATAAACTGAAAATTCGAAGGTCACTATTTTTTCATAATGTTGATATATTTAGTAAAATGGGGCATCATTTATTATATTAATATATTATTGAAATAATTAAACTTAAGTTTGAAAATCAAATTATAATCAAACAATCAAATAAAGAACTAAACAGTAAGTTTAGAATCATCAAAATGTTTTGCAAAATGGCACTGAAAACCTGCTGCTTGTGGATGCTGGCAGTGGGAATCATTCTGGAAATAGTGGGTTGCTATTATCAGCTTTTCGATCCATGGGTTCGTGATTTAGAAAAGGAGAGAGACGACCTCAGAAGAGAGGTTGACCAAGCTACCGATGCTTGCCAGCCAGTGTTCTATTGGTTCTCCATCTCGACTGTAGTTGATGTTTGGCGATATGCGAGCGACACCCCAGTACAAGAGACAAGTACCGACAGTGACCTTCAGTTTGATCCAAGGTGGCTGCCCATCATTGGTCGCGTCATCACCGCTTATGAATGTTACATGGAAATCCAAAATCTTAAAACACTTCTTCTTGAGGTGACATCACACTGTCATGAGTGTTCCTCTACTCCCTTCACAATGACTGTGTTGTGTGTCCTCATGTCAATTGCAGTGAGTGCCATGGGACTGATCGCACCAGTCAAACTCTGGAGGAGACGATCCGGCGATACACTGAAGATGGCTATGGTAAGAAAGCCAAAAACAAGGAAACATAACAGACGTCGCAGACAAAATGCATCGGAGAAAACTGACCAGGACCAGACAGGGTTAAATGGCAAGCCAAAGAAGAGCAAAAAGAGGAAAATTCAAGAGATAGAAACAATTGATGATGTTGACCTAGCCTACAGGTTAACTGCCCTCCGAGGTGCCAATAACCGAAAAGGTATATACAAAATAACTGACCCTAAGAAGGCAGAGATGAATAAAAAGACTGCGAACAAGGCCAAGGTGAAAAGCCTCACCAATGGTAAAAACAAAAGACACAAGAGTGTTGGTGTGTGAGTTAAATATTTATTTAATGAAGAAGGAAATATTTTTGTTTATTGAATAATGATTTAGGAGTTTTATTTATTAGTTCCTTTGTTTACATTAAGATTTTTTTTTGTTGAGATTATGTTCTTGCAGAGTTATATATACAGTGGACCCCCGACTAACAATATTATTTCAATCCAGAAGTCTGTTCGTGTGCCGTTATAGACCGAACTTGTTCCCATAAGGAATATTGTGAATTAGATTAGTCCGTTTCAGACCCCCCAAAATACACCTACAAAGGCACTTACATACACTTACATAATTGGTCGAGTTGGGAGCTCATCCTTAGTCGGGGGTCCACTGTATATTACTTGTTCTCGGTAACATACTCATATTACTTAAATCATGCTACACTCACTATCACTACACTGCACACTCACCATCACTACACTGCTACACTCACCATCACTACACTGCTACACTCACCATCAGTACACTGCTACACTCACCATCACTTCACTGCTACACTCACCATCAGTACACTGCTACACTCACCTTCACTACACTGCTACACTATCACTATACTGCTACACTCACCATCATTACACTGCTACACTCACCATCACTACCCTGCTACATTCACCATCACTACACTGCTACACTATCACTATACTGCTACACTCACCATCACTACACTGCTACATTCACCATCACTACCCTGCTACACTCACCATCACTATACACCTTTCACTATCACTACACACTAAACCCACACACCCTTAAAAACTAAAAACAAAACCCTTTAAAAATTTAAAAATTTTTATT